GTAATTATTATTTAATATTTATTATATAATATTCTTTCAAATCTTCGCTTTTGTTTAAAAGCTATTCAGATGCCAGTGATTGGTAGAGAGCGAATTTCGTTACTTTCGTCGCGATAATGTTTCGAATGTCGATCGCATGACGTAACAATTTTCACATTCCGTGACGAAACGATTTCTACATTCCACGGCCGGGCTATCGATACCAATTTAAATTCCACCGGTGGGTGTGCTCGATGGTTTTCGTGCCGAAAGTTCACGAAGGGTTCGTGTCGTACGGCCGAGAGCGGGCTCTCCGCTATCCATCCCCCCGTTACTCTCGCCCCTATTTACTATTTTCCCCCTCGAATCCACCGAGGGAAAATCGTGTAGAAATGGCTCTTAATTACACCGATCCTATTCAATTCGCCATCCCGCGCAGTGGTGCCACGTGCACTAACGCCACAACGATGTTTTTTCGACAACCACCGCCTTGCATTGTTCTTTTTTGCGCCGATTCACGAATTCCTGGCGATTTTCGGGAACACCAACCGGCACCCAAAAACCTTCTAAGCGACGTTGAATTAATGTCAGCTTTTTATCCGATAAATTTCACAGTCAAACCATCAAATTCTGTTTCTCCATGAACGAGATTCGCATTTTTCGGTGAAACTTATTTTATTTTAGAATTTGGTAAATAATAATGAGAAGAATAAAGGGGCTAAGGAATAATTATGGTTGATCCACTTTTTGAAGGAAGTTCGGAATGTATCGAAATGCGTTGGCCCTTCGGAAGTTTCTAAATTATTCGATAATTATCCGAACTTATCGAATAATTTAGGAACAAGGGTAGAAAGTTCGTGTTTGGCGCAGTCAGATTTAATTTCAGCATCGAACGAGAGCTCACCGATGCACAAGTAATTATTTTTCGATACTCTACACGTGCCGAACATCGTCGCGGCGCCCTTCAAATCTTTCCTTCTCATTTAATCCGACTTTTCCAGGTCAAATGATCTGGAGCATCTATTTTCGATATCCACGGGACAGTTCCTTTGTGGAGAACAATACTTTCTTGTAATTTTAGGTCACACGAAGTGAATCTATCCAACTCCCACGACTGTTGGAATCTTTCTATCGAAAACTCGCGGCCTTCGTGCAAAAAGGGATCGATCACGAATGTCAGTACCTTGTATGTGATCAATCAAGATTTTTCCAGGTCTCTTTATTTACTGATATCGAGTTCTTCCAACGGAAAACAAAGTCCATTCAACATTGAAAATTTTAACGAAACAATTTTTCTGTTGTATACATTAGATAGATCAAAGAATTATCAACATTAACTCTTCAACAATATTTAGATCAAAGTCTAGGTGGATAACACTTTCGATCATTAAGCGTGATATGCACTTGGATATAATCTTGAACAATCCATCGAAATAAGAAAGGGAAGATATCACTTTTATCTCACAAACATCGGTATCACATGATCATTATTAATTTTCTCGGAATATCAAAAAAAAAAACGTCTCCAGGTACTTATTCAACGCGCCCTGCACATCATGCATCTCCCGACGGTCCTCGGTATCTATTCCTTTTTTTATTATGCCATATTTCACGTGGCCGTCGTCGACGTTCTTATCATCCGGCCCCTCGAAAATATTTTCCAGCGTATCTGCAATCAATTGATTCCCCCGCGGAATGGTGGAGGGGGGTGGACAGCTCCTTTCACGGTTTCGAGGACGGCCAGATCGACGATACACGGCTAGGTCCCGTGGCTGCATAATCTAATAACGAGTTTTTGTCGGCACGTATATACCGTACGCACGCGGCCACTGCCCGATAGAGGGTTCGCCCGAACTTTCGTCTACATCGCAAGCCAGACAAGCCTGATTTCTGGCCTAAGTGGTTAGGCCCCCCCTTCCTCCGAATCCTCCATTGTGCATTAGCATCTATTCAAGCTGGTAATCGAATCCTACCGAGATAACGAACTTTCGCGGGGGATTTGCGGTTGACTTTCGCCGTGCCTAGACCTCGGTCGTCCTCACGAACCGACCACGACTAGATCGGTATCTCTGCGCAGAAATTTTGCTTTTTTTGGTTTTTTGTGCCGGTATAGATTTCTTATGGAATAATTTGAGAACACTTTGGTTTCTTGTTTGTTCGTTTCCACCTTATTTATCAAAAATCCATAAAATTGCATACCATCCGTTGTTTGTCTGTTTTTAAATTTTTGATAGAATGTTTATCAAAGATGATATTTTCTGTACATTTTCAGTTTCGTATACACAGTGAGGGACAAGGCTATTTTTACGATGGAAGACACACAAGATATATCTCAGTTCTTTTTTTCGATTACATCCCCTCACTCGTTTATCACACACGCGAGGCAACGTTTTGGGGGTTGCGGCGGACGGAAAGGCTAGAAGTGTCTCTAGTCATCTTATCTCCGCCCTCGAGAGCGTATGCTAAATTGAATATGAAATTATGTGGCTTATCGCCCTCGTGGATGCAGGGAACAACGACAGGACAGTGCTAAGCGATTCTCCGCCAGAGATCATCCCCTTTTTCCTGCCTGCTTCGCGGTCAGTAACGTTCGTAGAGTCACAAACAATCGATTTTAACACTAGAACTATCAAGCAAGTCAAAATGACTTGTGAATACACTTTCACAACAACGATTAAAATGTTATGACAATACATTTTCTCACATCTTTTAAAATAGTTAATTTATCAATTTGTAAATTTTCGAAAGTTCGCCATATTTATCGATCGATCGAAAAACAAGTCAATAAAAATATTATTTCTCCAAGTTACACAAGGTTTTCTTTGAGTAGTAAATTTTACGAAAATTTCGTAATAATGTATATTCACAGGGAAGTATCGTAATCTAGGGTTAAAGAACGTTTCACTCACCAGTCTTAACTTGGTACTTCAGAGTAGTGGAGCAGTCGATGAGCAGTTGTTGTAGGGTCAGACCAGAATCCGGTATTTCAAGGTCCAGCAAACGCATCATCTCGGATGGATGATGAAATTCGAGGACCTTCGCGTTTCGATCGTTCGTGGACTTGATAAAATCCAACAGAATGTCCACCACCTTCATCAGGAACTCCCTGGTCGCCGGGAAACCTTCGGCATTTTGAGGCAGGATGTCTGGGAGCATAAAGCAAAAACACTCGAAACAAGTTTCTCACACGAAGCTAAAAAATGTTCCCCTACAGGGTAATACAATCATTCTTTTAGTGAAATCTGTGACAATTGGAAAACTGAAACTGTTGTTTTAAGAACATTGAACTTAGCATAGAATGAGATTCGTATTAATTCAACGGATTTACCCTAGATTAATACTACTGGAGTCATCTGTACCATTATTTTGCCTGCTTCTTTGTACGTTTTCACTTTTTTTAAAATCTTCTTTTATTAAAGTAAATATTTCAGTAGTTAGTGAAAACTTTATAATGAGAATGAAAGATATTAATTTTGAAGTTAATGTAGATTCGCGATTTCTGTATCAGTTAGATCAATTTGGATCCAAGAATGAGCGCAAGTGGCTAACGTAGATGTCTACGATGACTCTCTAATTGTTATAATCAAGTGAAATCTCTTCTACAATATTCGACATTGATTGATTTGATACCGTTTTATCGGGCGTCTCTTTGCCCTGCGCTCCGTCGTATCGACCTACCGTCGGCTCTCCGACGTCCTCGTAGAAAACGGAAACAATTAGAATGATTTCACCTCATCAAACAATTGAAAGTATAGACCTATATTGACACACTCTCACTTGTTTGGTGGGATGACACCATCTCACTTCGTCGTCATTTTCATTCCATTGTTCTTCGTCGTCTTCTTCTTCTTCTTCTTCTTCATTGGATACACACGTAATTTGTTTTATTACATAGAATTACATGCACTCGCAGAACCGACTTCGTATGCAACTACAATTTTGTAACTAGTATGTAGAAACGGAATGTAATGAACAGACAAATTCACAAAGTCGATTTTCTCAAAACTCAAGTATAAATGAAAAAATTTTATTTAATATTTTCGACCTATTTTTTCACATAAAATCATCCTGTATCCGGTTGTTCTACCAGTTACATAACACCCTCTGTATTTATATTGTTTCTAAGTACAATGACTCAATAATGTGTTTACGTTAAGGCATCATATTTGTTCATTCAGATTATCCCCTTTGTTCCATTGAAAATAAAAAAAAACTGTATCAACAGAGGATAAATATACAAGCATCTGTAGTCTGGTAATGGAAAACGAGGGATGTGGAAAAATTTGTGAGCCACCGTGGGGCAATTCCTAAAGTTCCCCGTCAGAGGCAACATAAACTGGTTTGCAGCGGGTCATTTCAATGTTCTCTTGGTAAATCCTCGGTAGATTGAACTGTCCTTCCGTTGCAGGGTAACCATAAAGTATCCCGCTGAATAAACCACCCTTCGTCTCCCGTTGCATTAAGGAGATCCCATGGATAAACAGATACGGGCGACTCAGCAGCCACGCTTTAAAATCGCTATATCTCCTTTCCGAAACAATGGTAATAATCAAAACGTACAATCTACGTAATAAACAAACGATTTATTTAAAAATACAATTAAAAGCAATTCGGTCGACTAAAGTGTCTTATCGAGATGGCAAAGGAAAACTTTCACGACCGAAAGAAAACAGAAAAATCCTACTCGAGGGATAACTGTATCTTCCAATAATCACGCGAATGAGAGTCAAATGGAAAAAGAAGGGAGTCCAGAACCTTATGGCGAATCGGTCTGAGCCTATGGTTAGACAAGGGAAATCCCCAGCTTCCAGGGGCTCTGCTCCAGCTAATCCAGCTCTATCAATCTAATGTCCAAGGGCCGACAGACTCTCTTTCTTTCGAGGTTTATGTCACTTTCTCGTGGAAACGAGCTCGACCGAGAAAACACGCAAAGTCCAATGTAATCGACGATCTCCTTCACCGGTGTCGAGTTTAATTCTAACGAGCGTCAGAACGTGCAAAAGCCATTGGTATAGTTTACGCATGCAATATCGTGCAACTGAGTTACAGGTTCAGGCTTAATCGAGAAACTCGTTTTGGCACCAGATGCACCGGACCCTCGGCTACACAGGCTTTAATCAAAGGCGCCTTCTAGGGGTTGTTACACGCGGCAATTAGTTCCAGCGATTTATATGCGGGATTACGGGGTTAATTTATAGTAATGAGCAGAGAGAAATGTTGCATGGATTTGTGGGTTTTTCGAGAAATTTTCGGGGCTTCGATAACCGTCCAATGAGGTGACCTTGAGATCTCTAGACAAAAATGATTGTCAAAAAATTTGTATTATATTATTAAAAAAACTTTTCCATCCACCATTTCGTTGTCCACCTTGTATAATATTAATGATAATTGTTTCCAGTTGTTTATGTTGCAACGGGAGAACAATAGAAAGATTAATAGATCCGTTTTGCATCGAGGACACTTTAAAATTGATTTTTGACGTTGAAGAACACCTTATCGGTATCCGACACTTCCCGAACAGCAAACATAGACGTGGCATGCAAACCCTTCCGCCCTTTCTGCGGCGTGTAATCTGTCCTCAGCCACTCGTCGACTACGAGCCTTTTCAGGCCAATTCTAAATCCTCTATTATTATGCACCCTTCCGGAGCCACGCGAAATCAGGACAATATTGTGACTCCAGGATTCCATTCGCGAGGAGCCGAGCTTGCTTACGAATTTAGGGGGCACTAGGGAACGCTTCGATATAGCCGGTTATTTGTGTGTGCTCGCGGTGAATGTGAAATATATCGAAGTAGTTGCGGATCGTTCGTGGTCAGACATACATTAACTGGAACATTTTCCATTTTGGCTCACTATTTTGATGTTCATTGCTATCTTCGCCGATCTTTGTAGAGTAAAATACTTTTCACAGTCGAACTATGTTACAATAAATTGGATTAGGTCTGTATTAGGTCAGACGATTCTCAGATTTACAGTGACTCACATATTTGTTCATATACTCCTGTGTAGCAATTAAATGTAAAAATTTATATATAATTTCTGGTTACGTGTCTTCATTATTTTTACTTTTATTATACTTTAGTGAAAAGTTTGCCTTAGTTTTGAAATGAAATTCGCAATTTAGTACGTATTTTTGCCAAATAAAGGTAAGCCTTTCATGGGCGAATCTGTGAGTCACTGGATCTTTCATAATCGATGGTGTGTAAATTTAATTGTTTAAATTTCGACCAAATATGTAAGTTTTAACAAGGTTTCAGTATTTTCTATGCTATAAGCAATTAAATTGATGTGTATAGACGAAATTTAGTTCACTATAAATGTACAAATGTATGTTTAATTAAGACTCTCGGGGAAGTAATGTAACTCTAGCTGTTGGTAAAACAGTTTCTACTCATTCCACATTGCTTTATTTAGTAATTATTCTCTGAACACACATGCTTCAGGGCTAAAATATACATACAGATCGATCCATCTTCGAACTTACCCGAATACTTCAGGTTACAATGCTCCCTGGAGAGCGAGTACGTGTTCTCGGAACTCATTAGTCTGGTGGGCGAGTGCGTCCGGGCGAAATTCTGAAATTCACATTGAAAATCTGTCGTTTCGAGCAGGCAGGAATCCTTGGGCAACATTCAACCGCAATATACATATTACTGGCATTCGAGGGAACATCGTTTACTAGAAATTTCATTACTTTCAGACAGTGAAACCTGTTTAGTGAGAGAAAAGTATAGCAAGCACTTCTCTAGGCAATGATAAACGGATGCACGATAAGAGAGATACAGAGAATAGAAATGAAGAAATTGTCGGGTTGAGTCATAAATAACAAAAACATTTAAAAATTTAACTGTTAGGTGGTTGCATAAACTTTGCCATTAAAAAGTTTGAATCTTGCATATACAATAATTTTCATGTAATGTATAATATTTATAATATACAGATCGTTTCATTTAACTCGATGACACACAGAGCATTCAAGCAAGTATGTCTTCACATTAATATACAAGTATTTTTCATATATTCTGTTATGATATGTCTGTCGATATAAATATCCTTCCACACAATTTTTGTGGTAATCGAGATTAAGAAAACACCCTGTACGTTTCATCGATATCAATACTAAGGATTCTAATTTCGGAGTGAATCGAAACGTGGATTATTCATGACTCAGTAAAATGCAGCGACAATACAACCTAATAAAAAAAAAATGAAATAGTAAGAGAAAGAAGATGAATGAACGTGCAGGGAGATGGGAACGCCTTACATATAAGTATTCCTTGATCGCTGTGATTTTAGTGCCGATCATTTGCACATTGTCCATGTCTCTGCTTGTGCCCCTCGCCTCAGTCCCTACAACAATCAACAACAGTGTCCGCTTCAGTGTTTCGCGCTGTTTCATCGTATTTCCAGCGAGCGTGGTTCAGATTAAATTAATCGCACAAACTGCCCAAGCGAGAGAACAAACGCCGATAGGAGTCGCGGCAGGCCGAGCGACCAAAGAAACATGGACAGAGAGCATTTTGTATAGGCTCGGCGAGGAAAAACTAGCTGCGTTCCACGTTTACTGGAAAGAATAAAGTACTCGTCGCTGCTCTCTGAACCGATCGACCGGTCCTTGCAGCGAGAAAAATAAGCTGAGGATCGTCCTGAAGTGAGATCAAGCACTATAGATCACTCGTTAGAATATTTACCTCTAATATAGAAGACACAAGCTATAGAAAATTGAATTAAAAGTTTTTTGGAACGTTCGTAATAAGAATAATGCTTGGAATACAGCGACAGGAAGGAAGTAAGTAGTACATGTCAATGATATATCGTCCTTTCCTCGAAGAACGGATTGCTAGTTTATTGTGAAAAAAGAAAGTTGTGATATTGTAAGCGTGACAGTGTATTCGTTAGTTGAATGTTTATTTAACGTGTTTGTGGACACCTTCAAGTAGTGAAGCCAGAAATAATGCAGCGAGGATGAATTATGCGTGAAAGCGATAGTTTGAACCACTACATGAGAATCTTCCGAAAGCAATAAATTAGCAGACCCCACGAAATATTTAGAGGATCATTAGTTAATAAAAATAGTAAATTCTAGAGGCTATATGATCTGTGAACACCAACTTCCAGCTTTTCCGTTCACCAAAATGGGATGAGAACATACTAGAGACCGTATCAATTATTAACGAAACACGTGTTCATTACGTATTACTAAAATTACATTTCACACGTGCCAACCGAACAATTTGAACCGTTCTACTACCCCTACCATGATCCCCTAGCAATTTCCAAACTCTCCATCGCCATATCAACACTCGACAGTACACCATTCATTAACCCCCAGTAATCATCATCGAGAAACCCTGATCGAAAACAGTCCACCGCCGTGAGTACGAGCCCACGACACTAAATAAAACCCGGAATTGACGGAAATAGGGATGCAATCTAGAGGGTGTACCGACACGCAGAATGATACACTCACCAAATCCGTTCACCTAGCTGGTACCTCCGTTGGATAGACGGAAGCGGCGTAACGGTTACGCAGAAAGGGGGATGAAGCTGTCCTGGCGGGTATACGAAGGACTTTAGGGCGGTGTATCGTCGGGCAGACTGGCGAAAGCGGCGGCGACGGGCTTCGGGGTGGTTTCCAAGGGACTGCTTCCAGTCGAAAACGCCTGGACGACTCTCGAGCCTCGGCCTGACTCGGCCTGCCTCGAGTCTGCCTGACCCAGTTTCATCCCACGTACAACCCACGCAGCCACCCTCCTGCCCCCATCCCTCGTGGAGAGGGGATGGTTTCGCGTGGGTGGAGCCAGCAGCAGCCACGAATACCAGGGGGAGAGACGATCGGTCCACGAGGGTGGCTAGGGTGGGCGTGACGGTCCACGGGCCAATCGTGTCGACCCACGGAGCCCACCTGACGTCAGAGGGTGGATGACGTATCGCTCGTCGCTCAACCTTATCACTTCCTCGCCCTCCCTCCACCTTCGTCGAGATACGAGAGCCGTACCGATGTGTGCGGTTTTCGCGTCGGATGCCTCCGCCGTCTCTTTTATGTGTTTACGAATGTACTCTAACTCGGAACCGATGGGGGATGAAGCCTAGAGGGCTACTTAGCCGCGAAATCTCCGGCACGCTTGGCCGTTCGCCGAGATACAAGCCGACGGAATTATAAGGGGTGGTTCTGGAACACCGGTTGCCACGGAATTTTTTCAGCCGCGCTCCGGTATCGACAGCGGGATGAGATTTCTTTTAATAACTTCCCCTCGGTAGGAAGTATTTCATTCGGAATTATGGGTATTGGTATTGTGGTTGTTGGTGGTTTTTTTTGGTGATTGCCCGGCCGATGGGCTATTTAATACTGATGGTATTTTAAGATGTTTAGGGAGGAATTGGTGGTCATCATTTTTTTAACACTAACCGTACCGACCGGCGGTCAAATAACCGGTTTTAAATAGGGTACAAATAGGTATATAAAAGTCGCGGTACCAATGCGTTTAGATAGTAGAAGCTGTTGATTTTATTTTAAATTATTTGTACAAAAATTTTGTAACAATGTTTAAATAATCCAGGCTCAGTTTACAATATACGTATTACCCATATTTGAATGACGTGGCAGTCAAAGAGTTAAACATTCCCATGTCACAGAAAACAATTAAAAAAACGTTCCCGAGTCTTGAAACAAGGGTTCCATTTCATTCCGTCTGGTGCACTGATTACGGACCACCGGGGAACAATATTCGTTCCACGTCTCCCGAGGAGTCTATCAACTTCCATCGTGAAGAATTTAAATTCACCTCTGCTTGGGAGGGGGTGTGGACTTCGATACCCTTAATGAACCCTCATAAAAATTCCATGCGCATGCTTTTCCTCGTTTCGCAGCGAATCAACAGATGCACCGGAACACGGGAGCTAACGGGTTTTCCTCTTGGCGGAAAAACAGCCGGTTGTACGAGGAGAAAAAACCAGATTGTTGGTTCCTTTCCGCGGAAAATGTCGCGACGCACGCGTGTACTCGCTGTGGCTCCTGAGGAAGAGGGGTGGGGGGAGGTTTGAGGACATACAGGGATGGAAGTAGCGAGGCTGTGGACAGGAAGGACACCGAGGGAACGTGAAAACGGAGGAAGAGGAAGGAACAACAGGGTGGGGTAGGAAGGACAAAATGGACGGCAGCCAATCGGAGAACGGGACAAAATGGCCGACCGGGAAATTTAATCAATACTTCCTCCGTCCTTCGTGAGAGGGTGGAGGACAGGGCGAGACCCAGAAAGTGTCAGGGACGTAACAACTCGTTGTCGGCTGTACGTAATCGCGTCATCGAGGTCGATACACCTTGTATCTTCTTCCTTGTGACCGGGACACCCGGTACGTACGGTGTCGAACACACGAGCATCGTACCCCCTTAACGACGTTTCGTTGTTCTCGGTCCGCGGGCAGAGAGTCGAGGTGCAATAAAAAGAGAAAAAAGGGGTTCGATCTGAAATGGAACTGGCGTTCTTGTCGTTTTCCATTTCACGGTGATGGTAAAATAAGATCATAGGTATTTCCGATGAATGCATGAATTTGGAATTTCCATGTCATTTGGTTTATCTATTGTAAATCAGGAACATGGCAGATTCGCGGAGATAGCCTGTCGAGTGTTGACATTATCTTGGATATTTCGTCATCGATGATATTTGATCAAGATTTCTCGAATGATTAGGGATTTGACGAACAGCTGGAGGTCCTTAAAGATTTTTTAACTTCATATCATAAAGAAATCATGTTTTAAGTACATTAAAAATCTTCAACAGGTTTGGCAATAAGTCCTGAAGTAAAAGTGCTATTCCATATTTAAACCACCTCCTCTAATTGTTTATATTTAATTTAAGATCAATGAAAAGATTATCAGTTTCAAAATGTAATTATGTCAATGGTAATGGAGAAACATTTCAACAACCACGTGACGAACAAAATCGATCTAGAACTTGGCAGGCAAAGGCTTGAGATTCTGCGTTGACGTTGTTCGCGAGGAAAACTTTAAATTGAAACGGTATGGCCGGAAGCATCGTGGTATATGAATTCTCCAACAGCTTCGAATAAATTTCAACGGCAGCGGTGTCCTCCCGCGATGTAAATTATACGCGTCCAAGTTTCTTTTCTCGGAGCTCCCTCGAGGCGGTTAGAATACTTATATACCTTTCGCTGAAGATCGCAACTTCGAAGATCGAACGGGCAAAGTACATTTCTCGATAAGACTGGCGTCGTCGTGGATTTACCGATTGTTTATTTACGACAGAATCTTGATAGTGATGGAGACAGATGCGAGAGTATACAAAATTTGGTCACGTTTCCTAGTTGATGAACGATGCGAGCCACCGAGAACGATTTACTGTGTAAATCGATAAGCCCCGAAAACAATTCAATTATTTTATTTTAACAATAACTTCGTAGTGAATAATATATTTTCATTTGTATTTGTGATTGAGGTCAATTGTTTGCATGATCAAAACTTCAGATTTTGATCCTCCTTATAGTTTCATAGAAACAAAGATTTTCTACATTTATTTATCCTTTTAATTT